TTGAAATCGACAATTCTAGTTGATTAAAAATCAGAAACAGATTAAAACCCGTTTCAACAAAGTGACTGGATATATAAGAAAATTTCATTCAAAATTCGTTGAAACGAGATTACTAATCGCGGTTCAACAAATTTTTCATAATAATAATATGCAACAACGCGAGTTTAATAATAATTCGCTGAAACTGGTGTTGTGAATTTCCGGTTCCAGTGGGAAAATCACTGGAATTGGAACGCTAGAACAACTGGAACCACTGGAACCAATGAAAAATCCGTGTAAATTTTATTTTTAATACCTATATTTACATATAATAATGAAATAAATATGGGTAATGTCGCTGCTACTATATAGTTTTTTTTTTCTTTTTGGGTCAGCGCGATGATATTCTGGCGTCATAATATTATAAAATCATACGACTCAATCACATACTAATACATGTATATTAGCTCAGAGCATCAAAATTAGCACTAGATGCGAAGAATCTCGGCATCATATCATGCATTCATGATCAATGATGCAATCTTTAATAAGAATAGACTATTTCATGGCCATTGAGCGAGTAGTTTAATAAACTACAACAAAAAACATATAAATAGGCCCGCCACCCCTAACTTGTGGACCAAAAAATCGCAAAAAACGGTGTCACCGGTATTGCCCTTTACGTTTCATTAGATTTCGAGTGTCGAGCAAGGCACATAGTGCCGGACCGGCGTTCTATGTATGATTTGGCTTTACGTTACATTCAAATGCGAGGTATCTGCATATTTGTTCGAAGCATCAATATTAGCCAGACATATTATTATTATATCAATCTTTTTATTTTATTTGTTGCGTTAAGCAAAAAAATTGTTTGTTTGTTTGTTCACGAATTTAATAAATTTAATAAGAGATCCTTTAAAAAAAAAATCTTTTTGTCCTGATCTTTTCCTCGTATTTATTCATTTATCCCAAATTAAAGGTCAATTGTATCTATTATTTTTTTTTTTTCAAGTATATCGCTATAGAAGAATAAGCTTCATGCAAACATCAAAAGTTATTTACGAAAAAAAAAAAATTCAACTAAGCATTTTTTTTCTTAATTAAAAAAAAAACCCCCCTTTTTAGCAATTAAAAATAAAAATTTTCTTATCCAGACCATTCAAAAATAAATTTGTTTGTTTTCTCCGAAGGGGAAATTAATAAAAATTTTTCACGAAAAAAAGTTTTGTTTGTCGATCATTGAATTGACCGATAATAATAACATAAAATGTAAAAAAGTGTTTTTAATCCCGGTCTTGTGGCCCGAAAATGTATTAACACTAAGGCTCAAATGCAAGGTCATAAGTTTTTGGTCAACTTGAATGTAAAGCTCCTAACAGGTCGGATTAAGTGTCAATCCGAACCCGAATGTTTTAAAGGCAAACCCGAGACCGACCCGAAATTTTCGGGTCGAGTTCGAGTTGATTTCGGGTTAATATGAAAATTTTGTAATTTAAATAAATTCAGATAATAATAATTAATTAAATATAAAAGGCGAAACAGTTATAGTGGTTTAAAGGCTGCAATTTGTGTCATGCGTGACGCAAAACACAATTCGCGACGCAAGACGTAATTCACGACAATCCGTGACTCAATACATAATTAAAGACACAAGGCTCGTAGATAATGGCCGGAACTAACCATAGTTTAGACCTAAATTTGCGGCGAAGTTGGCGAAACCTAAACTGCAGGTGAAAACCAAGTGGTCAATTAAACTCTACTGTTTAATTTCCGACCACAAAAGCGTTTCATTGAACAAAAAAAAAGAGTTGGTTTGTTTTATTATTACAAAACGAATTGGGTCAAAAAATGACGTTATTTTTATGATAATCCTAATCTTTTTTAATAAATATATAAAAAATACAAAACGAAAGTGACTATATAGATCACATGTACGGCATGTGATTGGACAGCACTTCGATAAATCCGTTTTATCTATCGTCATAGATTTGATAATTTAACCACAGTTTAGGAGTTTGCCCATAGTTTAGGTAATTTATAAGTTTTGTCACTAGTTTAGGAGCCTAAATTCCTAATTTCTATAGATAAACTATTTCATATTTCTTAAAATAATTTCAGCCACCATCACAACACAAAACATAATCGTGATGTGTATGAATTAATTCAAACTTTAACCACATATAAAACTCTTTTGTTTATTGCATGAAAACTTTTCAATTTTTTAATTTTTAATGTAACATCAATGCTTCATAGCTAAAAAGGTTTTGTTAGCTAATAAATTGTCATAAATCATGTTTGCACCATGAATTGAGGCTTGCATCACGAATTGCATCTTGTGTCAATTGTATAAAATTATGATAGATGGTGCAATGCAAATTTTTAGGATTTTTATTACAATTTAATTATTTTTTGACCTTAAGTATAATTGGTACAGTCCAAAAAGTTTTCGGGTTTCGGGTCGGGTTCGGGTTTTTCGGTTGTCAAATAGATAACAATGAAAAACGAAAATATTTTTGTTCAGACTTCAATTTTTAACAAATTATTTCAAATCATTTCAAGCTAACATAGCAAAACAACTCATTACCTTTGATGTTGATCTCATCCGTAACTGCACTAAATTTTACCGTTTCAAGTCTTCTTTACAACAGAATATTTCACGTGCAACCAAATATTTCAAATTTTTATTAAAATATAAAAATCTACATATATTTTAAATCAAAAATAATAAATTATATATATTATGGATGCACTTATTTATTACTTGAGAAACATATTGAAGTTTCTTTCGATTCTTGAATAATAAGTACTTGTAATACTGAAAAAGGTATAAACTGAGAAAAGGTAATTTTTATATTATAATGTTACATAAAGAATCAAAAACTCTTTTAAGTATGGGTATTTAATGGGGGCACATTGAAATTTCAAAGCATATGCCTCATATGCAAAGAATAAAATGTGTTAAATAGTGATTTAAATTCAGAGAATTTGCTTATATGCAAGAAAAAAGATAAAGTAATAATAAATAAATAAATAAATAATAATTAAATTTATCGTTCTTTACTATTTTTAACTTGTTTTAGGGACGCGGGTGTTATTGTCATCAGATTCGTTAAATATGTTAGACCCGTTTAAATTGGATTTGTTGGTTTTTTGCATGCATGAACTCATTCAACAGTATTACTTGGCATTTCAAAATTGTGTATATGTACACACTTGCTAATAAAAGGTAAAAGATAAGCAACGTATGCAATATCTGTTCGTGCAGGTACTTTTTCAATTTTGGCTATCTGTGTATCATTTACAGCTAGGTATGATGCCCAATGCTCTAGTGTACACTCATATATTGAAGTGTCGTCACCTTTAGCTAAATTCCATTTTCTCATCAAATACGCCACTTATTGCATATGAAGGATCAATCTAATGGAATTGCCCAGGTTATAAAAGCTCTTCTTTAACACGCATCATTTCACATGTATATACCTTAACAACAATGGGCTCTGACACAGTTTCAATTATTTCAGGATAGCCTTGTTGATAAGGGATTCTAATTGTCCATAATCTACTTATCTAGCCAGTCCCAATACCATTAAGGTTTCTCGTCCAAAGCTTTCTGTTAATACCATGAAAAGACCATTGGCGTACATGTCAGATTCATTTATATACGGATAGTTTAAGTAAACTGTAATACATCAATACAATCACGACCTGGATGTAAAGAAAACTTCTCAAAGTCTGTTTAACGAGGTCAAATTTCTTAAAACAACTAATTGATATAGCTCTGATGACCCTAACTTCTCTTAAACATAAACCACATCTTGAATCAATCAAACATTCATGTCAACATTGATCATAATAACACCATCAACCGTGATAACACTAATACCAATAACATTAACATAAATCCAAATATTGACAACAATACAAATATCAATAAAATAACAATCGCAAGGGTGTTTTAAAAATTAAAAAAGAAATATAGCGTGTAACAAAGTTGTTTGTTTGTTTTTTGAACAAAAACGGATTTAGCATCATGCTGCAAGTTAATTTTTAAAAGTCAACTATAAAATGTTCTGATTCACCAAGATTTTCACGTTCATTTTTTAAGAGTTGTTAAAATTATCAATAAAGTTGTCGTTGTTAAATAAAAACCATTCATGTAAGAGTGTCGCACAACGAGTCATATTCATTTTATCACTATTTAATTACTATATATGTATTTAATGATAATTATCACTTTTTAAATTTTATCTAAAAAGGGGTTTTAAATGGATCTTTCTTCCGATTCTTTTCTCTTTTGTTACACAAAAATTATTATAAAGAACTAAAAAAAATCTTCCAAGAAAATTCTGCATCAAAAAATTACTTTTATAATTTATTGGGCTTAGCAAGCCTAAATAATAGCTAGCTGCTGATGACAGTTAATTCAGCCTATAAAAGTAAAATTTAATTAAAAAATTTCCTTAATTTATAAATGATGATGATGAATATTAATGAAATTGAAAATCAAAGATTTTTATTTTTTTATTGTTAATAATATTTTTTGTTATAATCTTTATCATCGAAAAGATTCTTTTCCATATTATTTATGAATTAAAAATTGCTTTTTTTGGATTCTTATTTGGATTTTCAACAAACAAATCCAACAAATCAAAGGAATTGTAATAATGTTGATGAAACACATGCATAGATGCATGCACGAGTAATATACATACATGCAGTAATTGTAATTTAAATGAAACTTTTCCCCTAAAAACAAAAAAATCCATTATTTGTATAATAAATTAGCTTGAAAGGTCTGAATAAATCCAAAAAAAAAACAATGTGACAAATATTCAAATTCATTATTTGGTTGTTATTGTTGTTATTGAGTTGGATTAGCCTTTTATCCAATAAAGAATTAACAATTAAAATAATATAAAAATCATCTAAAAAAGATTTTTTATTAATGTAAAAAATTTTGTAAAAAAAATCAAAAAATCAAAAATCAAAAATAAATTTAGAAAATATATTACTAATTAGAAATGGTTAAAATAAAATTTTTTAGATGGTTTTTAAAGGTAAATATATATATTTATACTTTTTTGATTACGAATGTTCAAATTTTCATTTTTTTTTTTTCTTCTAAAAAAAAAATTTTTTTTTAAAAATAAAGAAAAGAAATAAAAGAGGAAACAAAAAAATTTCCAAAAGAATTAGAAAACAATTAAAAAACCAACAAAAACAACAAAAGTTACAAATATTAAGACAAAAACGATTATTAAAACAACTAAATCTAAACAGAAATCCATCATACAACGCCAAATATGACATATTTCCTTCAAATTACCCAAATGATTCAAATCCTTCCAATATCAACAGCTCTATTAACAACAATAATAATTCAAACCATAATCAACATAATCAATATGAACAAAGTAGGTTGATACAACAACACGAACCAAATAATCAACATTTATATTATTTAATTGGACCAAACAATAATAATGTAAATCATACTAGCAATCATTATAATAATAATAATTCGAGAAGCATCAATAATAATGGTTTTGACAACGATTTTGAAAATAATCACAATTCCGAAAATAATTATGATCGCAATTTTGAAAACAATTATGATCGCAGTTTTGAAAATAATTATAATTATAACTTAGAGAAGAAGAATGATAACTATGATCTTTATAATAATAATCAACAACAACAACAACAACAACAACAACAACATAGAAAAGATAATATTATTCATCCATTTAACAACAACAACAATAATCCATTATTCCAAGAAAAAAATAATCACGAAATTTATCATCAACCCCAAGAAAAATATAATGATCAATATTATTATTCAAATCAGCACCAATACCCCAATCACCAACAACAATTTAATCAATTTAACCCATATCAAAATCAAAATCAACATTCACGCTTGCAATCAAATTATAATTATGATCAATATTCACAGCAACAACAATATACAAATTACAATAATTATAATAATTACAATAAGTACAATAATTACAATAATTACAATAATTACAATAATGATAAAACTTTTTATGGAAATCAATTACCAATAAATCAAAATTATCCAAGGGAAAATGGAGTATTGATTCATTCAACGCCACCATCACCACCATCATCATCATCAACACCACCGCCAACAATGGTTCCAATAACATCGCTACTACCAGAACCACAAAATACATCAATGCAGTTTCTATCAACAAAAAATCCCCCAAAAAAATATAACCCGTCAAGAACCAACAGTATACTTGGTATTCAATCCTTTCATAAATCAAATAACTATTCTCAAAAATATCAAGATCTAAAGAAGGACAATTATAATCATAATAACGAAAAAGAACAATTACCATTAAAAAGTAATAATTCTTCAACAGTCTCCTTACACAACAGAGTGTCAAGAACTTTATCATACCTAGCAAAATTCAAGGATATAAGTATTAGAAAATCTCGTGACTCGAAAATCTTTTCCTCGTTATCATTATCATCAAAAAAACAAACTACTTGTCACACTTGTCAGCGAACGCTAGTTGATATCGGCTATTTTACATTATGGTGTCAACGTTGTGAGAGTAAGAATTTTGAATTGAATTACGGGACGTGGACAACTGGAAATGATGATATCGATTGTTTTATGTTGACAACTCAAATAAATGCCAAAAGTCGTTTCGATTATTTGGAATGGATTCCGTACGATAGACTGAAAAATATTGAATTTATTGCCCAAGGTGGTTATGGAAATACTTATCAGGCGATTTGGTTGGATGGCCCACGTGAAAAATTTGATAAAAAGTCAAAAACTTTTGTTCGTTGTGGTGAATGGCGAATTGTATTAAAAAGTATTGACAATTCTAAAAATATAAATTCAAAATTCTTTGATGAGGTAAGAAAAAAAAATTTTTCGTTGCTTATTAAAAAAAATTTATAATTATCTATATATTTCTAACATACATACATTTTTTTCAAACCAATTAGCTCTCGATACACTTACAAAGTGAAAATAATAGTGGAAATTACATTACAAGGTATTATGGACTAACTCAAGATCCAAAAACAAATAACTACATGGTTGTTGTTCAGTACGCAAGAAATGGAGACCTAGGCAAATACTTGAGCAAAAATATATCAAAAAAAATCACTTGGCAGAAAAAATTAGACATCCTATTCGCGATCGCCACGGGACTTACACGTATTCACAGCAAAAACCAAGTTCACAAAAATTTACACAGTGGAAATATTCTTATACACTCTTACACAATTTTATTAAGTGACTTGGGTTTATGCAATAGAATCAAACCCGATGGCAATGATGACGATGGCGTATACGGAGTTTTGCCTTATACGGCACCCGAAATTATACAAAACAATCAATTTACATCAGCCGCCGATATTTATAGTTTTGGTATAATAATGTGGGAATTGATTTATTCTAGAAAACCATTTTCAGACAGGCCACATGATAAAAACTTGGCAATGGAAATATGTTTCAATGGATTAAGACCCGATATTGATGAGGGTGATGGCAATGTCGATAAAATACCAGAATCTTATCTCAATTTGATGAAAGAATGCTGGCATGCTGATCCATTCAAACGACCAACAGCCGATGAATTGTATAAAACTTTGAGTGATTGGTTGTGTAAAGTGTGTAATATGCCTACATCGAAAATCTCCATGGAATTTGCTGCTGCAGATAACATTAAAAACCAAAAGACTACCAAGCAAATGTATAATGATGAAAATGCTTGTTATACAAGCAGACTGTTGAAATTTGATGAATTACAAATACCAACAAAAATTACTTTAACAAAAACCTTTGATCCAAAAGAACTTTTGGCTGTACACAATTACATTAATTTAGAACAACAATTAAATAATTTAAAATATGAAGTGTTTCAAGCCGATAATACTGAAATTGCAGCTGAAGTTTATGAAATATTACAATACTGGTGATTGTAATTATTTATATGATTTTTTTTTTCCACAAAAAATTATTTAACAAACATCACACAAATATCATTATTTCACACATATATTTATTGTCATCATTTATCATTAATTTAATAAAATTTTGAATTTCTAATTAGTAACTGTATATACAGTGTGTTTCAAAAAAAACCGGAAAATTATTGTTGCTGGAAAATTTTTGTAACTTTCGCTAAAAAAACAATCCAACTTGTTTCAAATAAAATTTAAACAAAGATTTGCTTTTTAAAGTTATTTTAAATCATTTTCTAACCGAATCTGATGTTTAGTTTTTGAGTAATTAGCTTTTAAAATGCGCAATATGGTTGAGTTTTACTGTTTTTTTTCCAATTATATATTATTAGAATAAAAGGGATACATCTACCTGATAAACACATCACATTATGAGCATTTCATTCACAAATATCTATTTCAATATTAATATTAATAAGTTGAACGAAATAGGTGATTTGGCTCATATATAGAAGAGTTGATTGTTGGTTCACAGTTGAGATCACGTGATTTAATACAATTTATCTACTGGTTTTTTTTTGTTTCTTCAAAATATTTAGTAACCATTTATCAAATAATGAAATAAAAGTCAAAATTTTCAAGGTCTGGGACAATTCATTATTAAAAAAACGAGATCTAATTCCTGATTTGTTTCTAATTAGTTTAATTTGATCAAAAAATCAAGATGTTGGTTTATTAATTAAAACTAATAGTGAAAGCATTTTGTATTAAAGTATAGTTAATAAAAAGTACTGCTATTAATCTATCGAATGGGCCATTTTTCATACAAATCAATGCAGTGGTTGTTTCACAATGATTGATTTAATTTTTCTGGTTTTTTTTGAAACACACTGTATATACACCAAATACAATTTTTTTATTATTGTACATAGATGCTATATTAATTACATAAAAGGATTTCAAAAGATAGTTAGTTATTCTAAAGAACTTCTAAATTTATACATGTAACTAAAGACGTTAGCTGAAATGGTTTTTGAAAAAATCAATTTCAGCAGGCAATTTCAGATTTACAATATTTTCATAATGGTGGATTTTGGCTATTGAGTTAAAGTGTTCAAATAATTTTGAGTATAATTTCGGCAACTATGTAAAACTATTTTGGCATTTCAGATTCAGTGAAAATCATTTACTAAGTGAAGTAATTTCGGCTAACACCTTTAGTTATGATATTTGAAAGTGTTATGATATTCAAAAGTATTATGGATGTTTGAATAATAAGAATCGAAATATGGGAGTTGGACTAGGAAAATCAACACCTCAGCATTTGTTACACATGATTTTTATTAGTAAAATCATATCAAATCTATTTTTAGAAAAAAAATTTCCTATATAGTCCAACTCCCATATCATTTCCATAAAATTACAAATATTTGAATATGGATATGGGAGAACAAGTCACTACTGTTACTGTTATAAATTGTAAACCCATATTTTTGCACAATTCTAATTTCCTTATTATTTTTTTTATAATGTGTCTTTATCTCTGTATCTGTCGCATCGCATTTTTTTATGTATAAAAATATTTTAACAGCTAAAAACAACTTTGTTTATTATGTTTAAAAATTAATTAATGTGTGCGCAATTAATGATTTTGTGTAATTGTTAATTTAGTAATGATATTCAGCCCGATCGAAATTCTTTTTTACGTGATAAAATCAAAATGTGATTGACACAAATCATTACCAAATATGCAGATTTCCGCTATGCTATTATGATCTAAATCAATAAAAAAAATTCATTTATAAACTTTTTTTAATTCTAAAAAAAAAATGACAACAATTGAAGAAATCCAAAGACACTTAAATGATGCAGAAGACAGATTAAAAAGGGCAGAAGAGAAGTTGAATAGATTAGAAGAATTGAGGGAGGAGAAGATAGAAAAATATGTTGGTGAGAAGGAGATATTGGAAAAAGAGGAAAGGGATTTGAAAGAGGAAAAGAAACAATGGGGAAATGAGGTGATAGATTGCTGAAAGAAGTTGCGTGAAGAAAAAGGTAATGAACAAATTGTGTAAAAAAAAAAAAAGAATTATTTTTTGTTCATTACATTTATTTAATGTAAATTGATTACTAACTCATGCATTTTTTATTAATTTCTGTCTGATATTATCAACAATTTTTAGGAATAAATAGTATAAAGAAAAAAAACATTTTATCAGATCTTGTTAAATCATTCTGTGACTTGAATAATTTTAAATTGCCAAGTGACCCAAAAGTTCTAGAAACTATTCTTCTCCAACCATTTTGTATAAAGATCCCTATTGAATCTGAAGTATATGAGCAATGGAAAAGGGAAATAATTGACATCAATATTGACAATTATTTTGTTAATGGTGATCTATCAGGTTCTACAGCAGCTGAATTTAGTGCAGAATGTGTGCATGCTCTTCCTAGAACAATGGAAGGTTCAGAATTTCGTCTTATCAGCAAATTTGATAATATTGTTATCAGTATTTGAGAAACTTTAAAGACATATCAATCTTTAGCTATTGACATTAACCGAAATGTTAAAGATCCATCAGAGATTACAATTGATTCTTTACAACCAGATGTACTTGTATGGGTTCAAGATGCATTGGTTTTCAAAGCAGAAGAAAAGAAGGATGGTGATTTTAATGTAGTAATGGAGGAATTAAGGGATAAAATGAAGGATTGGAATTTAGCATCATGTGGAAATCTTCCTTATCTTCTCTCATATGGTGCAGTAAAGGAAAATTTTCAGTTCTTTGCCATTACTAAAGATTCCAATTTGATGTCAATTTCACCTCGCTATAATATTTCTACATTTGCTGGTGGTTTTAAGGTAATTGTGTAATAGTGGATATTGATTTCAAGGATACAGAATATTGCTAATTTAACATTCATCAAATCCTTTAGGTTTTAATATCAACTCTGAACATGTTTAAATGTTTTCTTGCCGCAGCAACCCTACTTCCAGAAGTTCCATTTCCCTTCTTAAAAACTTTCAATAGACAAAGTGGTGCATCTATTACATTTGTCTCAAGTGATCATATCCAAAAAAAAATAAAGAATTTTGAAGATTATATTTACAGTGACATAGAAACTTTACAAGAAGTTTATAAAATAATTGAATCATGTGAGTATACTGTGAAAGCATTTTCAATGCCAGAAGTGCTAGTGAAGAAACGTGGAAAAAAAATAATCAAAACATATGTTGTAGATATTGCACCTGTGTGCTTCAGACAGCAACCAAAAAGATATTCAAGAATTAAAAACTGCAATATATCAAATACTTAAGGTCCTTGAGATTGTTTATGATTCAGGTTATGTACATCGAGATTTGAGTTGGGAAAATATTTGGAAAGATAGCCATGGAAGATTCATTGTTGGTGACTGGGAACATTCTGGAAGGTTGGACAATATTCCAAAATTTGTTATTCAATGGTGGGCACCAGAATTACATAATACACCTACATCACCATATACAGACAAAGCAGATATATATCTTGTTGGAAATTTGCTAAATACATTGGATGTATTATTATCAAATGAAGCAGTAGCATTCTGTTCACTCTTGATGAAAAATAACCCAAATGAACGTCCCTCTGCTGTAAATGCTTTGCAGCATCAGTGGTTTAATAAGGTAAACTTTAAATGCTAAATTCTTTTCAAACTTTTTCTTTGGATATTAATTTCTATGTAACATCATTAAATTTTTGCAAAATAACTGAAAAGCAAATAATTTTTCATACTGCCTGAATTTAAAGTACAAATAAATCTTTTACAAAATAATATTTTATAAATTACTGTTAGTAAGTAAATTTATAAATAATAGACCCAAATAAAATCATTAAATTCTTAATACTTACTATTTCTTCAGAACAATCAATGCTAAGCTATAAAATTTCTTTGTGAATCCTTTAACAATTTACTTATTGTGAGTCAAAGCAAAATAAAAGATTATTTGTTTGAGGTAATATGAAAAGTAATGATAAATGGTTATTAAAATTTGATCTCTAAAATTTTTGTCCAGCTGTAAAAGACTGACTTGGATTATTGTTGTTAACAGAATTTAATTTAAAATAAAAAGCTTACAAAGTGAACATAAGATTATATATATAGGGATAAGTGTATATGAAAAGTAATAATAAAAGTAACAATTATAATGGTTCTAATGAATATGAAAAAGCAATTGATTTTTTAGAAAAAGGTTGTAGATGTGATTGCTCTTCAAGAATTCCCAAGGAACAATTTGCAGAATTAAGAGAATCCTTTCAGGCTCTTTCCAAGTCTGGACAAGACATATTTTTGATGGCACAACTTAAGGCAATGGATGGTGGATCAATAAGCACTAGAAGACACCTTAAAAAGAAAACCAGATCTAATAAAAGAACTTTCTACCATTGGGATCACAATACACTCCTTTGTCAAGAAACTTACCTCAATATGTTGGGGATTGGCAGGACTTATTTTGAAAATATCAGAAATGATCTAATAAACCATGGTCTTTTAACAAGAGTTCATGGTAATATTAAAAGGATGCCTCAATGGAAAACTAAAATGGTGATTGACAAAAATGTTGCAGAAATTGTAAAGAATTTTTTGGAAAATTATGCTGAAGTTCATGGTTTACCAAGTCCAGGAAGAAGTATCAACAGAATAACCCAATCAATTATATTTTTACCAGCTGAAATGAGTTATAAATCAGTACATAGAGATCTTCTTGCTGGTCTAGAAGAAGATAATAATTTGAAATCCTTAAAATATGATGCATTCAGAAAATTATGACATCAACTTACACCAGAAATTCAAATTATGAGTCCAAGAATTAATTTGTGTGATACTTGTCAACATTTTAGAGATGGTTTACATTATAATGCTCATCAAGAGGAAGAAGCTAAAGATTTGCTCAAAAGATTTAAAGAACATCTGTCCAAGGCCAAAGTAGAAAGAAATTATTATAATAAAAATACAAAATTAGCAGAACAAAGAAAACTAATTGATCAACATTATTCAATGAATAAAACACAATATTGTAGTGTTGATGCTATTGCTCATTATAGTTATGATTGAGCCCAAAATGTTCATGTGCCACATTTAGATCAACAAGTAAGTAAAATTTATTATCTTAGTCTATGTAAAGTTCATTTATTTGGTCACCAGGAAATTAAAAATGCATTATTCATAGCATTATATAGCACATGATGAAAATAACATTATTCAATAGACCCTATACAGAATTTATGTTAAGATTATTTAATACTTATTTAACAAATTCATAAAATTTTCATTATTAAACATTATGTTATTTTAATTTTTATTTAGCTAATTTAGAAATTTAGCAATATTTGACATTTACAACAGAACAAACACTTTTCCAAAATCGGGCGAAATTGCAGATCGGGAGAAAACAGAAAAACGTTACGCAAAATGTCGAAATTACGACATTTAGTTAAGGAACCGTAACACGGCAACCTTTCTTTTATGTATGTTATATATTTTTGGCTTAAAGCTTAGGTTTTGCTTGTTATTATAAACTATTACTATTACTCCGCTTATTATTATAAGAAGGTTCGACGGAAATGGTTTTTAATTTGACCTATGACAAATAACAAAGATAATTAATTCGATTGAAAGAAACTTTTTGACGCAGGTAAATAATATGATTCTATTTAATTGTGATTAATGAAAGCGCATTAATTACATTTTTTTGTAAATAAATTGATTTGAAAAATATTCTGCTTAAGGAATTTTTATTCAATCTTTTTTGATTTATATAAAAGAATGTATGCGATATGCCAATCACCTATAAATTTTTTATAAATCACATCAATAAATCATACACAAACATGGATTATATAAATATTAAAAAGACATACCACCACCACTACCACTCAATTTTTGAATATCTTCTTGTTTTACAGTTGAAACCTTATCGTCATCATATTTGATCCATTCATCAGCTAAATAAATATAAATGATAAATAATATTAATTATAAAAAAATCACATTTGATTAACAAAATATAATATTTATTACATACAATTATCATCTTTGCGCACCCAAGCAATATAATGTCCTGACATTTTTTCACACATTTTAAAAATATTAATTAATTTCTCACAAAAAAAAGAAAAGGAGATGGATGAGATGAGAAAACAAACCAGAATCGGCGCTTCGTCCAGTATGAGTCAAGACTGCACAAAGGTCATACAATCCTGTGAAATTGGATCCAACATCTTTTACCAAATCTGGGTCAATTAATTTTTTAACCTCTTCAATACCTGACTCATCTTTTTTTTTTATTTCTTCTATTTCCTTTTGATCAGAATTTTTGGTGAGCTTTTTCATTCTCTGTAATAACAATAATAAATAAACATTAAAATTTAATAACAACGTAATTTTTATTTTCCATACAATTTATACAATTATTTTAATTCTCAAATAATAGAAACCTTAGCTTCTTCCCTTTCTTTTTCCAATTCAATCAATCGATTCTTTGCTGGTGATAATTTTTTCTTTAATTCATCTGTACAAAATTCTGTGACATCAAATTCAAAAGGAAATATAACCTTGCGCAAGATTTTTGCTCTCATTTGTTGTTGACTTTTCCAAAAAAACCTCACAAAATGAACCGTAAGGTATGAAGGCAGACGACTAATACGTGACTTTTTAGTATATTTAGCTTGTCGATTTAGTGTAGGTGAATGTTTTTCAAGTTCTTCATCTAATGCCTAATTTTTTAAAAAAGTTTTCTTAAAAAATCATACATAAACAAGTTTAAAAATAAAAAATCATTTACCTTATCAATACCATTTATCATGTAATTTATTTCTAATAAATTTTTTTTTTTAAAAAATAAGTGAATTTAATAACCATACAATTAATTAGAATACTTATATATATATTTTTTTTAAAAAATACTTGCTTTCGTCAATATGACAATTTAACTTTTTAAATGGTTCATGTGAAACAACAGGTTCTTCATCTAGTGCTGCTTCTTTATCATCCCCATCATGTTTTAATTTTAAACTAGCAATTTTTATTTGCATTAATTGAAAGTTTTCTTTAGTTAAATTAATAGATTTACTTTAAATACTTACATAGAAGTATATTCACCAGTCATATATTTCTCAACAAATGAAGATTGCGTACTAGAAGTTGATGATCCTTCTTCTGCAGCAGCATTTTGAGATAAAAGAAGATTTTGACCATTCAATGAAGACACAATTTGAGACCAGCATTCTTCGGCATCTTGTTGCATAAATCCGTGATTATTACGCTGTGCAAATTGAGGAAAAGCTGTTCGTAATGTCTAAAAAATCATCAAAAAATTTTATATATGGTACATCTAAAAAAAATTTCATATATTCAAAATAATTTTTTTTAATAACTTGTAAAAAGTTCCATGGTGAATATCCTTCAGTTGTCAGATTCAATTGGTTGTAAAGTTCACATAAAGACATGACCAAGTTTCTTTGATTGTCTTGGTCACTGATAGTAATCTTAGATCTTGGGTATAAATCTCGTTAAAGTTTTATTTTAAGATTATTTGTATTTGTCAATTCGTATAATTGAAAAAAAAAGTTACCTATTAAGTGATTCTTGCAATTCAGGAATTGCGCGAAGGCATTGCAAGGTAGAATTCATATAACATGTGTTCCCAAGGTTTGTCAAACCGGATGGTAATTTTAGCTAAAATTTCAACAAAAAATTAAAATTAAAATTTTCTTTGGTTATAAACTACATGTGTGTTTATGATGAAAAATGATGTCAACATCAAGACACATTGAATGAAACATACAGTTTCTGCTAACTGTTGGTCTGACATATCTTCAATAAATAAAGTTTTTTGATGTGGCACTTCTGGCAATTCTCCAATAGTTCCCGTCATCTAAGTCATGTTTCTTAGTACTATTAATCACCCATTAACCATAATCAAAATTTTATTTATAATTACCATAAATTTTTGTCCCTATTACATGTTAAATAGAAAAATCAAATGTGTTTAGTATTTAGATTCTTGATCAAATTCTTGAATCAGAATTTATAAATGTTTTCTTAACCTCTTTGATGTTTAAAGTATTAAAATCAGTATCATCCTGTATGTATGTTTTTTTAAAATAAATATATAAAATTATAATTTAGAACCAATTTCTTTTTTATTTAAAAAAAAAAAAATAATAATATCGAACCTTTAATAATACTCCTTTAGTCATAATTTTTTGTCTTTCTGGAGCTACTCCTGTCATTGTATAGATTTGAGATTTAAATATTTCAACTGACTCATCTGTGTCAACTTCCAACTCGTGCTTCTTTTTACTCCAATTAACAACAACTTGAATAAAAAGATAAAAAGTAAGATACTTGAAAGTTTTGAATAAATTATGAATTAATTGTAATAAATAAAATAAATAAACCTTTAACCAACGGCATATTTTGTATATTAAATTGCTTGCTTCTCGTTTAAATGTTAAAGTAAATCACGTGGTAAATTATTATGCCAATCGGACTACAAAGAAATTTCTAAGGTGCACGAAATTTAATTTTTTAAAATGTATTTTTCAAGGGTATTTACTATATAATTGCATCTTTTATTCTTTTCAGTCATTTCAATATTGGTAGTTTTTCTATAATTACCGTTAAATTAATAGTTTGATATTATTATGTATTAAGTAAATGGGCGAGGACAATAAAAACAAGGTCAATGTCAATATCATAGATATTGATATTGTTCTATTGTCCACGCCTCAAATAAGATAAATAAAGATTTGTTCCCATTGACTCAGGCACAGTGACTCATTAGTGGTGATCAGCTAAATGGAAAAAGGCCAACGCTAATTTTAGCAGTTTCCTTGACAATGAATGATGCGATTTCCATAAATTCCAGGGCCACGTCCCCCCTGGAAATTTAATATTAGCCTTATGTATAAATACAAACGTTACACATCGAGTTGTTTTTATTTCCAATTGTCCAGTTTTCCATATGAGAGAAATCCTTCAACAGTCACGTTGCTTTTCTTACACTTCTCATAATTCCTCATCACTAAAGATATAAGTTTTGCTCCACATTCATACAAGATACTTGGGCTATTGTAAACAAAAAGAGGCATCGATCAATACAAAGGTATAAATCTCTGGTTATTGACAAAAGCATGGCTTCTTCAAAACCTCAGAAACCGGTTTTCTGGCAGAATTATTGCAGTTTAATATTAAGCTTATTTTTAGGAAAAATTGTTGGATGGCAAATTTCAAAAAATTATTATAGCAAAAAAAATATCATGAAAATTTTAATAATCAATTCTATCTCATATATATTTGCTTCTCATTGAATTTGATAAATTAATTAGAATATCATTTGAGATATTTTCCTAAAAATTACTCCAATTCTCCAATGTTCTTTCTACGTTCCTCCTTTGACTCGTCATAAACTTGACTGGGATAAGGTATTCGATATTTTATTTACTTTAAAATGGAAAATTAAATATTTAATTACTTAGTAAAATACTTTTTTTTATATAGATTTTAAATTATAAAATTGTCAAGAACTTCAAGAACATGCAAATAAATCTTATGGTCAAGAGCCTCAAAAGAATGAAAATCAATCATAATAAAAATAAAATCTTTTGCATTATTTAACCTCTGTTTACTTGTAATTTCCATTTATTTAGTTAATCAAATTTTTAAATTTTTATTTATTTACCCTAAAGATATTGATTTGATTATTTATATTAATATTAATATTAATATTTAATTTTTTTTTTTAATTAAAAATTTAATAATCTGAACATTAAGGAAAAACACGTTTATTATTGCATACATCTAATGAGCATTTTTATTTTCTTCGGCTTCACTTTTCATAAATTCTTTAATGAACAATTCCTCTTCAACTGAAGACGCATTGATTGGTGGACTGGAAGTAAACGGATCAGGTTTTTTTGCCTTAGATCTTCTGATTGCTAGGAAAGCAACCAATCCAACTACCGAATAAGTTCCAAGAGTTAACTAATAAAATAAATAATTATTAGATGATGAAACAAAAAACATTTTTTTATAAAAATTTCCACTTACATATTGAGATGCAACTTTACGACCAGCGATCACATATGCTGCACCCATTCTTATAGTTATTTGTAATATCTTATTAGTTATTAATTAATAATCGTATTATAGATATTTGCAAATTGCAAAAAAATAATTTAAATATTAAAAATTTTTTTTTCATATTTGTTGGGAATCTACATCTTCACCAAATATGGAGAATTTGTAGTACGGGCATCAAATCTATAATACTAATACATGTATGTATTTAATATTAATTATTAATATTAATCGAATTCATTTTTCTTACAAAAAAAATAATGTCAAAGCTTTTATCAAATAAAACTTTTAGATTAATCACAACAAATTCACAACCGAAAATATCATTTGGTTTTTCATTAAGAAAAAGGCTTACCACCGCTACATCACCTGTTTTACGAGCCACTCCACTTTCAACACAAACACAAACTCTTGTTACCCCCTCACCAGGTATAATAAATATCTTCAATCAATATATACTTATTTTGTTTGATTTATTCTTATATATATATTGTTGTTTTACTTAGAATTATTGGGATTTGAAACACAATCAATTAAACATGCAAATCGACCAATTTATCTTGATATGCAAGCCACTACTCCAACAGATCCACGAGTACTTGATGCAATGATGCCATACTGGACACAACAGTATGGTAATCCTCATTCAAGAACTCATGCATATGGTTGGGAATCTGAAAAGGCTGTTGAAAAAGCTCGTGAAGTATATATATAAATATCCTGTAACCTTTTGAAATTTTTTTAAAAAATGTTACTATATTCAACAATAATAACTAAAAAGAAGATTATTTTAACACTCTGTTTTTTTTTTCCTTTGTTTTAATAATAGCATGTTGCTAAAATTATAGGAGCTGATCCAAAAGAAATTGTTTTCACATCAGGAGCAACGGAATCAAATAATCTTAGTATTAAAGGAGTTGCTAGATTTTATAAGAACAAAAAAAAACATATCATCACAACACAAATCGTAAACATCAAAATTTTCAATAATATATACATGTATATTGATTATAACTGTTTTTCATTCATTTGATAATTTATTTATAGGAACATAAATGCGTACTTGATTCATGTCGTGTTTTATCTGAAGAAGGGTTTGAAATAACATATTTGCCAGTTAAATCTTCTGGTCTTATAGATCTTGAATTGTTGGCAAAATCAATTCGACCTGATACATCACTTGTGTCTATCATGACAGTAAATAATGAAATTGGTGTATTGCAACCTATCGAAGAAATTGGTAAAATCTGTCACGACAATAAAGTATTTTTCCATACAGATGCTGCACAAGCTGTTGGCAAAATACCTTTGGATGTCAATAAGATGAATATTGATTTAATGAGTATTTCAGGGCATAAACTTTATGGACCAAAAGGGATAGGTGCTTTATATGCAAGAAGGAAACCCAGAGTTAGGTTAGAAGCTTTACAAAGTGGTGGAGGACAAGAGAGAGGTTTAAGAAGCGGTACTGTACCCACACCTTTAGTTGTTGGATTAGGCGAAGCTTGTCGAATTGCAAATGAAGAAATGCAGGTAAATAAATTTATAAATATCTAATTTTATACTATGAATAGTTTGTTTGTTTATTCGTTTATAAAGAGAATATTTATTAAATATTAAATTATTGGTTTTTTTTTAATTATCAAAAATAAAAAAAAAAGTATGATTCAGAACATGTAAAAAAATTATCTAAAAGACTGATTGATGGCATTATGTCAAAAGTTTCTCATATTATTCGTAATGGTGATCCCGAATCAACTTATCCAGGTATCGAAAATATATTGTTGTTTTTCTTCTTTTTTTTTATTAAAAAAAAAATAAATTATAATTAATCAATTAACTTTCATTTATAGGTTGTGTAAATTTGTCATTTTCTTTTATTGAAGGTGAATCCTTATTGATGGCACTTAAAGATATCGCACTTTCATCAGGGTCAGCATGTACATCAGCATCGTTAGAACCATCTTATGTGTTAAGAGCATTAGGTTCTGATGATGAATCAGCACATTCAAGCATTAGATTTGGTATTGGAAGATTTACAACTGAACGAGAAATTGATTTTGTGATTGACAGAGTGACAAAACACGTTGATAAATTGAGGGAAATGTCCCCACTATGGGAAATGGTATTATTATCATTATCATTTTTGTCGTTTTTTATTGTCATGTTTCGGATGGTTAAATTTCTTTTTTTTCTCTTTTTTTAAATAGGTTCAAGAAGGCATAGATCTCAAATCTATCCAATGGAGTCAACATTAAAAGTAATAATTGTATTATTTAATTATTCAACTATGTATTGCTTAATGATGTTGATCAATTGCTTCGAAGTTATAAATGTGTGTGTTAATAATAACTATTGTATTTATAAAAAATATCTCTCTTTTGTTAATAAATAAAAGCTTTAAAATGATTTCTTGTTTTCTTTAATATATCATAATTCTGCAGTCATCTTTTTAATTTATTGCGTTGATACAAACACACAATGCAAAAAAAAAAATTAAAGTAATAACTATAATAGAATAATAATTGTTTAATGAAGTTTTCAATTGTCTCGTTGTAGGCTGCTAAAAAGATCCCGGCATGATTTTCACGCATATGACGGAAGACAGTGTAGATATTTCCTATCTGCACTGACACGTCCATTCCGTAATTTTGTTGATTTCAACACACCTTTGGGGCATATGAGGATCAGGAAAACTCATATTAATGCGAATCGATTTTTTGATTTTCATCAAAATTTCATATGAATAAACGGTTAATCAGCTATTACTATTGATAGCTGATAAAATTTTCTGATACAGTCAGACTCCTATATAATCACAACGTCAGGAATGCGATTGTTGGTGATTATAATGAATGTGACTATATAGGATTTCTCCTATATAATCACTTACTATGTAATTTTAAAAAATTTGGTGATTATAATAAATCTTTTATTTTATTTAACATCCCAAGTAGATAGATATATGTATAAAAAAAATAAAAAAAATATAATAATAATTATATAAAAAACAACAACAATGGTTAGGTCACTTGCAGTGACTTGTCCAATCCATATGTTCATTGCTTTTCTAGTTCAGGAAACCTCACTTGTCTACAGCAAAAAAGCATTATGATGAGTTGTAGATGAAGCATCTAGCCATTTTTCTTTATCATGTAAAATTTTTGTTACCGATGTCAATATTCAATGAAATTTTCTCACTAAAATAATTTGCAATTTCTTGAATATTTTCTTGGTAATATATACAAATTTCTCTTTTCAATTGCTCACTAATAGTTGTATGTTTTTGGTAATGGTAATTACAATGTCAATGGTAACAATTTATTAAAATTCACACAAAATTCAAAAAAATCTTCAATTAGCCAATAATATTTACACAGTCACATGAATTGGTGATTATATTTATATAGTTGGCTTGGTCTAAAGACCTCCTAAATTTTGTGCAAATTTTAAAAGTATAGAAGTCATTTTCTGCCCTACCTTTTAAAAAAATA